GATGACATATAGATTAACAGAAATGGGCTGAGTTTAAGTGTAAGAGTTTGTCAGTAGTAAGCCTGATCTAATGGCCGAGCAGTTTTAATTAATATAAGCCTTTGTGTTTACTTAGATCTGAGCACCTGAGGACTGGGTAGAACACAGGAAAACTTCCAACTACAACCTATTACTATTACTTTGTTAATGGGACATCGTATTGAACCAGATCTAATGATTTGTTGTTATACCTATGTTAATGCATCTTTCAATCCTCATCATAGAAGCTTCTCTTTTCAGTAAATGGCAATTAACACAGTTGTTCAAGGTGTAGAGAACTAAAAGACTTTAGAAGGCTTGGCCTTAAATGTGATATCCTTTTTGTCATTCTCTCTTTCCAAGATGTAGAAATTATTACAGAAGAGGAGCAAAGGCATTCTAAGGCCCAACAATGATGGATGACTGCAAGGAAATGATGTTTTTCAATTGGTTAATTTGCACATAGTAACTCATAGTTATGATAGCTTTCATAATACCTTCATAAGCTTGAATCAAACAAAATCACAACATGAAGTGTGGATATGGGAAAGAAATCTAACTTGTAGATAAGAAGCTTTGGGAAACTGATAGCCGCTTGAAGAGGGTGACTTAGGATTCTTTAAGTGTATGGCCCTGCTAGCTCTAACATACTCTAGTTGATGGTCACACACCTAAGAGTATATGGGTAGCACTAATGGGTCTAGGTAAGTTAAAATAAAATGAACACATGAAATTGAGTGTGGGTGAAGTGGGATTGTGTCTAGAGGTAGATCAGAGAGGGGATTAAAGTGGTGAAAATGCAATGTACAAAATTCTCAAAGAATGAATAAAGATTTTTTGAACAGCAATTTTTGAAAGATTGTGAAGCTGTTTTAATATCTTTATTGATTTATTCTCTGGTTATTTCACACATGCAGATAATATTTTAATATATGCATATCAAGTTATTATTGAACCCTCTTATCCTCCTCCAACTCTCCTCAATATTCCCTTTCCTCCAAAGTCCACATCCCATTTCCATATTGTGTTGTTTTTGCTTTGTCATATACTGAATTTAGCCAAGAACAATAGTGTGGTCATGAGTGTGACACTATCTGCTGAAGCATGCATAATTTAGTATTGGGAATATGACTGAAAGCAATGACTTCCTCTCTACCACAAACCCTCAAACAGCAGCCTCTCTGGACTGGTCAAAACTCCACGGTCCCCTTACTTGTTACTGCCTCTTTGCTGGTTCAGGCTTGTACAGCTCTTGTGCAGGTAACTTCAACTAGGCTAAGATCATCTTCACATATATTTTTATTTTAATAATTTTTACTATAATTACATGTCTTAGCAGATCTCTTTTCTGCATCAAAACCTTCTTGTATACCCCTCCTTGCTATTTATTTTTTTTACAAATACATGACCTCTTTTTAATTAGCTGTTGTTACACATGTATTTACTTTTATATGTGAATGTGTATATATGTGATATATATGTATACAAGATAAACACACATACACACATATATACCCATCTTTTGGTATGGCTTATGAAGACATTTCAAATGATGATGGGCTGAGTGTCATTTTATTGAACAACATGTAATGATACGGTGCATGGGAGGCCATGGCAGATTTTGGACCAAGGTGTTCCAAGGTGGTGAGTCACACCCTGTGTGCATCCGGGACAGTGGAAAGTAATTCACACGCAGACATGATGTCCAGATATGATGTCCACATGGCAAGATTATTTGGAGGCTTGGGGGAGGAAGAGAGAGGGAATGGAGGGAAGGGAAAGAGAGAGAGAGAGAGAGAGAGAGAGAGAGAGAGAGAGAGAGAGAGAGAGAGAGAGAGAGAGAAAGAAAGGTGCCTGCTACCTCTGGTGAGATGGGAGAGAGAGAGTAAAGGGGGAGGAATTTTTTCTTAAAGGGAATATAGGTTGGCATCAGGAGGATGCTGCATGGGTTCCCAAGGGGCAGGTTGGAATACTAACACAAAATATTAGTGATTATCTATCAATCATATGCCATGATCTGCAGGATAAAGATGAAGCATAAAGATGGTGCTGTAACATAAGGTCTTTGTTTATTCTACTTAACTTTTCCAGGCTTCCTCATAAAGAGCCACATTCTCTTTTTTCTGCTTCTACATACAGTCTTCAGATTCCTAAGACTATTAAGTTTGGGAATGAGTACATTCTAAATTAGTATTTTTGAGTAAGTTCATTTTCTCTTCCTTTTTATGTTATTGACACACAAATATTTTTCAGTCTCACATGTGATCCCTTGTCATTATAGCTATCATAGTCTATTGGTTATCTGTCTACCTCTTTGAATTAAAATATGATTATCCTTTTATAGTTCATTTATCATGAATTATTTATTAAATAAAATATCAAAATTATGGGCTTCTTCAAATAATACTGTTGTTTTAGAATATTATTTTAAGGTGTATTACTTTTCTTTATGCTCTGTAATATTTGTTTAATGATGCCAAGACATGTTACATTCATTTGATTAAGTAAAATTCACCTGTGGTCAGGAGGTTGTGTCAGCAACTAGTTGACAGGAAGTGTTAGGGAGGAGCCAGGTGGAGAAGGGTTTTAAGAAGAAGGATGAGAGATTTTGGAGAGAGAGGAGCAAGGAGAGGTGAGCAACTTGCTATTCAGCCTTTCGGAGGAACAGAATAAGACCTCAACTTTGAATCTTTAGTTCTTTAGAGGGACAGAGATTTAGATATGTTCCCTTGGTAGCTTTGAAAGAGTTGGTGCCTGAGGGAACAGAATCCCCTCTAGCTACAACCCTCACAGCCAAACCACTGTGGTAGTGCTGAGCTGCAGTTGCTGATTAGGAAAGCTGTAGCTCGCCGGGCGGTGGTGGCGCATGCCTTTAATCCCAGCACTCGGGAGGCAGAGCCAGGCGGATCTCTGTGAGTTCGAGGCCAGCCTGGGCTACCAAGTGAGCTCCA